CTATCTATCTATCTATCTATCTTCCCCCTCCCCCAAACAAACTTTGATAAAGCCGCGAACGCGTGGGCATTGAATTTTTTGGCCTGTAATCGATGTACGTTCTGACGATCCGAGGAGATTGTCCGTCTTCCACGAAAATCGCGATTATTCATGTTAATCTTCGTATTGCGATAGAAAAGCCAATCGGGCGGATTGTTTAGCCGCGGTTATTGCGCCGCGAGGAGACAATTATGACACTTTGACCATATTAACACCAGGTGTCTCAACAATTGCTTAATTAATTAATTAATTAATTAATGGAATATCTTTACGGCTCTTTGAAATCCAATATTTTTAAGCGCCAATTTCATTAGAAGCGAAACATTGCATCTGTATGAAGGATAATCACACCACGTTCGTGTCCGTACGCTCGGCTTTTTTCGTTTTTTTACAATATTATCTTTTAACATCGCGATGCTTTTCGTGTATCGTGAAATTAGCGAGCGGAACGATAATAATATTTAGATCCGAGTGTTTCCTCAAATCGACAGGAGACGATCTCATTGACGAATTAGGTTTCGGCTCATCTTACGGACCCGAACGCATTGTTAAGCATCTGACGCGTCAATTAAATTATTCATACGAAAGCCGCGGTAGATTACTGTAATTTCAAGAAGAACAAGAATGCAACTGAGCGCAACCTCGTTGCAAGCAAAATAAAGTAGCTTGAGAAAAATCCGGGAAAAAGAAGCGGTAAGGAGATTAAGGCTTACAGGAAATAATCAATGCGAATGAGATGCGCAGCCATTTATAAGTGCAGTACTCAATTTCGCTTTTCTTTTTTCTCTTTTCTTTGTTATTTTTCACTATAATAAACCCGCCCTTTATTACAACAATTTTGTAACTTGTAAGGCGCGAGAAATGACGCGATAAAAACGCGATAAACGATAGTGTAAAAGCGTCCCCTTGAAGATTACGTTGACTTTGTTTCGGCGGAAGGAATGGTTTATGCGAAATAAAATAAAATACAGTTTTTATTTTGGAAACAAGGTCATTGCGTATATATATATATATATATATATATATATATATATATATCCGCGAACTTGGATAGAAGCCAGTTACATAGACTAATGGCAAGGACGAAAAGACGGAGAAGCTTGGCAAAATCGGTCACGCGTCGCGCGCGCGCGCGCGCGCAATTCGATACGATAATCAAATCTAGGAAAATGTGGATAGCAAGCAACTTCACTGCCAAGGGTGAAAGTGACGATCCCGGTTCTCGAATTCGTCTGCGTGGCGAAAGGCGGAGTGACGGCGGCGAACGGGACGAGACCATACTCACGCGAAATTTGAAGCTGTCGGTGGGTCCGAGGCGCACACCTGACTCCTCGCTGCTCGGCAGGACGATCCACGTTACGATGAAGACGATAACCGCTGCACCCACTTGAGCCGAATACCTGAAAGGCACGAGTCGTTCGTTTCTCTGTGTCGATGTAGTTTTACAATTTCTCGAGCTCTCGGGATGATTGACCAACGTTGGCGTTATCACCTGTCTACGCGATGCGAAGGATGCGAGTAGAGGATACGGGAATGAGTGTGTTTGGGAAATGTCGTTACGACGCTCGATTTTCGAAAGATGAGGTGAGAAAGTTCTTACTAGCGCGAGAAAACTTATTAGGGCGTAATGTATTATAGGTTGTGAGTTAAGTCTTCTACCGATGGAATTAACTTAACGCAATAACGGATCACTAAGGATAATCGTAAAATTTTCGGCTTTTCCATGAAAGATGCGTAATTATGAGCCGAGGTAGCTGTAAAGCTGTCGTAAATAATTTAGTGTCCGATAAAAATTGAAATAAAATGTCAATGATTCGATTAATTCGAGATTATGTATTGTTACAGATTTTCTTCTTTACCACTATATTATACATTTTGATTAGATCACATTTTACATTTACAAGCGCGATTAACGCAGCATCTTCGAGGGAGCTATTTAATTAACGACATTCGTTTACGATTCAATGGGCTTTGCAATGGGCCGTGCCCATGGACCATCGCCATCCCATCACATCGCATGCTCTCTTACATAATAATACGCACATTTATATAATAATAATATTAGCCGGTCGATGTTCGGCAGCGTCTAGTATTCGAAGCAGCGTCGATCCGAGGAACGAGTCGTAAGCGAAACTCGCGTAATAAGAGTGATAACAATACGAAAGGGATCCGCATGCCGTGATTATGCACCTCGAGCTTCGAATTCGCGACAGCTATTATCGATCCAAATTAACATAATCATCTCGTTATTCCGGCCCGAATTCGCGCTGCCTCGTCGATTGCATTACCGGTTGACGCGCGGGAGAATTGTCAATTATACTTACCGTATAGCCGTGAGCTCGGTCCTGAGGATGGACGAGCTCGTGAGGGCGGGTATCATGGATAGGTGAGATATCTGGACGGCGGCCCAGCCGGTCTGGAAGATCGTGATGCTGAGAACGTAGACGAACATTGAGACGGCGCTTCTCGTGTTCCTTACGAAACTCCCGAATATCGGAGGGAAGGAGAAAATGACCATGATCGAGCCGACTACGTGCCACGTCTTCTTCTTCGAGTACTTGTCCACCAGGACTCCAAAGACCGGTGTCATGAGTGCGTCGATCACTTGGCCTGTGCGGGGCAATCGAATCATTGCTTGGGATTGAGATATCTAATGGTTTTTATAGCCTGGCGATTGCTTTGGAATGAAAATGGGAAGGAAGTTCACGAGATGATGGGGAATCGTAAGGTAACGATTGAAAATTGTTCTTGCAGGTCTTTTTAACGGTAGAGAGAGAGAGAGAGAGAGAGAGTGAGAGAGTGAGAGAGTGAGAGAGAGAGTGAGAGAGAGAGAGAGTGAGAGAGACGGGCTGTTCTCCTTGCATATTGCTTGGACGTCGGAATATATTTCACGCGATTAAGTCCCCTCCCCCCAGGAAAAGATTGTGTACATTGAGAGAACGTAAAAATCGAGCAGCACAATAATAATGTACAATCGTAGATTGATCAATAATCCCGTTTAGTGTTATGTTCTGCATTACATAGATGTATGTTTTGTAGGATGGGATAATATGCAGTTTCTATTTGTAATTTAAATGTTGCAGGCGATATTAAGCATTAAACGAGTTCTTAAACGGGTTCTGCAAGATATATATATATATATATTTTTTTTTATTTTTTTTTTTTTTTTAATGAGATTGTTTATAATTTATGAATTACACGAAACGGTAAGATAATCTCTTTAGATATGTCGGTGTTACAAGCCTTTGCATGTAAAGGACCTTACTTTAATAACAGTTTTGTTATTCGCACTTTGAAATAACACTTTGAATAAAGCCCCCTTAATTAAATTTACATGTTAATACTATCTCCGAATAATCATCATTTTTTTTTTTTTTTTATCAGATAAAATATTACTACGCACAAAGGTACGCAAAACCTTTCTCGATGCTCCTTCGCATACTTGTGCTTAATGAAAGAACTTTGTACCGAGAACGTCCGAGAACTTGTATTATCGAACCACCGTCTTTATTATCAAATTCGCCTTGTCCCGCGAATGTGTCCGTGCACTCTCTATACGCTTATACTTGCGCGCGCGCGCGCGCGCACACGCACTTACGTGGATACGTGGGTACGTGGGTGCGTGGGTGTGTGGGTGCGTGGGTACGTGGGTACGCGGGTACGCGGGTACGCGGGTACGCGGGCACGCGGGCACGCGCGCATTCGTCGTCGTCCTAAGCTGCTCTACCGGTCATCGCGATAAGCGGATTCTCGGGGTAAGTTAGCTTCCCGGGGACCGGAGCTGAGAATAAATTAACCTAGGAGCAGGAAACATCCGGCCGTGAGGGGCTCGAGTAGCGCCACTCGCTGGAGAAAGAGCAGCGTGTAGGAGAACCACATGGCCGCGGTGAGGTCGTTGAAAACGTGTCCTAGGGCGTAGGCCGTCCTGGTCGTCAGGCTGATCGTCGCGTCGACGAGGGGCGTCCTCTCACCCATCTGCGCCATTCTGCTTCCGGCCTGCTGCTGGGCGATCCAACTCCTATATCGAACTCTGCGAATAGCCGATCGTAGCTATTACTATTAAAAGCTCGACGACAATTATTGCGACGCAAAGCTTAAGCTTAAGCGCTATTGCGTTCTTTATTTCTCGAGGGATTGCGTCACTCGAACTTTTGCTGATAAAATGTGTTTTCGCGCAAAAGCCAGTTCAATTTTTTGTTGTTGTTTTTTTTTGTTTTTTTTTTGTTTGTTTTGTTTTTGGTTTTCTTATGTTTTGTTTTGAGGCTGCTGCACAGCCTGGGAACGAGGCGCATTTGCGAGTATCTCGAGTCGGATCGATCGATCAATCAATGGCCGTCGTTCGCTAGATTATTATTGGCTACGGCTGAGAGAAAGCGACGCTAACAAATCGAGTTTTTTTTTTCAAGTTATTCAATAATTGCCCGTAAAGTGCTTTGTTGCGTCAAATTCTCGAGCGACGTGCTTGCCCGTCTTGAGGAATTGAAAGAGACGAGAAAGAAAAAGCTAAAATAAAACAATCGAGAGGTGGAAGGGGGAGGGGAATAAAAGAAAAAGAAAAGAAACGATGATTGGATGGAACGTAAATCATTTTGTGAGGGCGGACAAAATCGAATATTAACATTGGCTTTTAAAATTCATGCTTTATGGTATGTTATGGCTTATGTGGCATCCCTGTGTGTGAAAGAAGGATGCCTTATTGCGCGAAAAATCATGTTAGTAAATCAACGAATTTATTTGCTTAGTAATACGTTGGTTAATGCGAGCGTGACGCGTTTGATGTCGTTTTTTTTTTTTTTTTTTTTTTTTTTTTTTTTTTTTTACGATAGATTTATCGCGCACTATTTATTTTGTACCGAACGCCTATTATTGCCGATAATAAACTTTTTGTTTTGTTTTATAATGTAATATCGAGCGTTGATACATAGCATAAATTATTTAATTATTTTAACAAATGTCTGTCTCTACACCTTAAACGTTTTATTTTCCTTTGGGCTGTTCTATGAGTATTTGCGGCAAAGACAACGACACCCGCAGCCATAGTCGCGCATAAGAAAGAGAACGTTTATATAATTAAACGACTCGTTCGCTCGTTTATTATTGCGCGATTGAAAATTAAGACAATTTGATATGTCTGAAGAAAGACAGTTGCTCCCGATATCTCGATGGTTTTTACTTGCGTGACAGTGGCGTGAATTGAAGTAATTGAAACTCGCCTGGGGAAAGGTCGATTTAAAATGCCGCCTACTGATTGTTAAATTTTTAAAATACATTCCCAATTGAAATACGAATATATCCTTTATCAAAATGGAGAAATAAAAGCGTTTGCATTTAATAATTAGTTCAATGCAGGAAGGCATAAACTCTTATATGAATATCGCGATATATGTGCAAATTTGTTAAAATTGCCTTAGTGTTTTTTTTTTTTTTTTTTTTTATCGTATTGTATTATTATCCAATTGTCCGCTTATAGAGTTGTATGGCATTAAAAAATTAAAATAAAAGTATTAATCAAACCATTGTTTTCATACACATATTTTTTTTTAGCCCAATAATTGAACATTGAAAGTAACAAAAATTCATTAGTATAATACAATGTGCAATTACAATAAATTATAGCTAATCAAACATTGATGAATATTGAAATGAAGATTGATTAGTAATACATGCCGTAGGCTCTATTTCGTTTCCAACAAAATAAAAATGTCCATCGAGTTGTGCGACGATAAACAATGTAAATTTCAAATAAATCGGGACAATTTGTGACATACCAAACACAAAGTCATTTCAACGTATTATTCGTATATGATTGTGATAGAAAGGAAAGGTAGATAGAGATGTACGTAGGACTAATAGATCGAAAGACAGACGTTTAACTATAGAGCTAGATAAATAGATAGCGCTCACATGCTCACGAATTTAGCGAGAGGGGGAGGGGGAGAGGGATAATTCGGAAGGGAAACTTCTCGTGAATGAAGTCGCGTCGCGTCGAGCGATCATCTCGTTGCACCGCGATAAGTGTCGGTTGCACGGAGCGATTCGTCCGTCCCGTCCTTCGCCTTTACAAACCACGTGCTCGGGCCGTTGCCGCTGAACCAAGGCTCGCCCACCGGGAACTCAAGACTCGTCCGATGTCACAGCTCGGCCGCGAGAGCAACAGCGGCACTGCTCGTTTTAAAATGCCAATCGCGCACTCGCTTGTCCGAGTGCGGACTAGTCGCTTCTGACTCGCCGGCATCCTTCGCGAGTTTCTAAGTAAACAGCCGCTGGCCGTAAGCGCACAAGCATGCGTCGGGCTTCCGGCCGATGATGACGCGTGCCCGATTAATGCGTTGCCGCGGGGGCGGACGGGATCGCGAAATATTACGCGGTATTTGTTGGAAGTCGTCGTGGCCTGGTGGAGGTGGAGTTTCGTGACGCGGTTGCGTTGCAAGAAGACGCGTCGAGAATCTCGGCAGTGCCGTCGACGGTGATTGATTTCCTACTCGGCGAATGAGATGGAGGGAGAGGAGGAGGAGGAGGAGGATGAGATTGGGAGCCCCTCATTGTATATCCGAACTAATGGTTATTTGGATTGGTCATGACGGCCGAGCTGCTAAACGCTGTTTAACAAATAGACGAGGCCATTATTAGTGACTGGATTTCTCTGTCCGGCTGATTCGACTGTCATCGTGCCACGATCAAAGTATGGAATTCCTATTATGATAAACATGCCATTGTGGTAGTGCGATATCGTGTGCGCTTTGAATCGTGTAGATGAGACTTTGACAGAAGTATCATCTCCGTGTCAAGGATATAGATCGCTTGCGATGACGAATGCGATGGTATATCTTATCAAATATGAGAGTAAATATTTGGTTTTTTTTTTTTTTTTTTTTCATTCCAATTGAGAGTATAACGCGGTCGAATCTGTAGTAACAAGCTGTCGAAAAATATATTTTAAATCTTTGCCAATTTCACGCTGTGCCATTAATATTAACTCGATGCTAATCTTATATTCCCTATAAAATCAAAGTCGAGTGATATTGGCGAATATCCGCAAAATAATCGCACACTCTTTTACGCGCCGTTACACCTGGAAACCAATATTTTGTTTTTGCACGATCGTTAATTTAGCCCTTAACATCGATTATTTCTTTTTTTTTCTTGTTTTTTTTTTTTTTTGTTTGTTTTTTTTTGCTTTACTTTTATCCACGCGATAAAAGCACGTGTAGTAATAATCGTGAATTAATTTTTAATTAAATGACTGTTGCAGAGGGCCCGCGACGTAGAGTGCTAGAGAAAAAAATTAACGATAAATACGTAGATGGTAATTGCGTGGATCGCGAAAAAGCAAATGGAATTATATACGAAACGGGCGATATCTACATTACATAATGTTTCGTAAAATTATGAAATCAAAGAGAGAGAGAGAGAGAGAGAGAGAGACGAGATAATAACACTCGCATGTCACATAAGAAAGCAATTCGTGGCGCCTTGCATCATCCTCGACCAATTTATACAAATAATTTCACTAAATCACACTTTGCGATCCCCTATTATTATTCATTTCCTTGCGATATTATTTACAAAAAATGTCATATCCAGCCGACATTCACAGCCTCGTTTTCCATATAGACGCGAGTGCACTACCCACCAATTGGCACGAAAAAAAATCAGCGAGTCGTAGAAAAGCGCGCAGATGTCGCCACAAGCTCGATCAACATTATCCAAATGAACATGTGCTTGGATTAAGAATTACATGCATTAATAAAACATTTCTCCGCGTCGTCATCGAACTTACTTCAATTCTAATTTAACGCATCTCGTAGAGAGGGCAAACGAAGCCCATAAAAGTCCACTCACGATCGGGTATGAAGCAGCTCTAACCCGACGATACCCGACGATCGCACGCAAATTGGCAAACCACCATCGAGGCAGCGACACATGCCATCGATAATGCAACACTTACACGAAATTCTTCAATATTCGGAATGCCATTACTTCGTTGCTTTGGTCGCGCTCAGACAGCCCGTTCGTCCGTCGTACTCATCTCTCCCTCCCACGGATATGACCATCGGCTCGCTTTCGTCAATCTAACGCTCCTCGGTTCTTCGCTCGTCTTCCTTGGCGATCGATACTCCCGGCACTCGATACATTAGCTCCTTTAATTCGACTCCTGTACACCAAACGCTTCCCGGGCGACGATTGACTGACGCTGGCTTCGTGTGCGCGTACACGCACAATCGAGTCGCGCACCTGTATTTTACTCGCTCGATTTCAGTCGCCGTATGACTAACCGACTCCACTTATCTTCAAAGCGCAGCGCTACGGAATTACTTTAGCGCGCGACGCGCGTATTTAAATTTTATCGATCGACGTATTTAGCCACTCGATCCATCCCCACCACCTCACCGGTACCATAACCGAGCTCATCGATCACTCCCTCCGGTCCTACGATTATATCGTTTTATTTGCAAATATCTTGCCAATGCGTGGCCTCGGTTGTCACAATGGCCGGACTCTCTTAAGGATTTTCGTGTCAAACACGTAAGATAAGACTGTGGCAGGCGTTCGCTTCCTCCCTGCATGCGGCTCGCGCGCCATACCATCAATCTCGTCCTACCCGCCCCAGCCCCCGCCCCTGCCGCACTTTCAATCTCCAACCAAGCTTGTACCGAAACGCAGCGATAAGGAGTCCGACAGTTATACACGCACCCCCTCGCCCCTCGCCGATTGCCGGCATTACCCTCGCGCTCGCGATCCCGAGCAGCTACGACAGAGTCGATTACGAAATCCTCTCTCGGGCTGTGGAGCCGCCGAAAACGCACTCGATTGCGCTGACAATCGGGCACGAACTGTGCGAGAGTCACATGTTCGCCGCCGGCAGGTCCGCAAAAACCGGGGCCCCAATGGATGGATCCGCGGCCTTTCACCGGCTTTCCGTAAATGGCCGCTAACGGCACGCACTCGCTCCTCGCCGCTTTCTTCAGGAGGCGCTCGTCCTCGCGCTCGTCGTGCCGCTGTCGGCTCGCTTCCCCGATGGCCGCATAGCCGCATAGCCGCATTCCTTCACACCGTAAGCAGGATACGCTGAGTCCTCGTTGGGCCGGCACTCGGCACTCGGGCGGAGGATACGCTTCTTCTGGGGCTGACAACGCGTCGCGCCTCGTTCGGGGACTCGCTCTTACGCTCCTCAATGTCATTAATCCGGATCATCCGGTTCTCGGGAAAGTGTGGATATTCGATACACGTTCCAAACCCCCCCCCCCCTCTTTCTTTCCCTCACCCGTCTCACTCGCTATTTCGACGTACTGCAATGGTTTGGTAATGGAAGATGCGATTCTTTGTCGTTGTAGGTAAGATCCTATTATTCTCATCGTCTTTCTTCTTAATATTATCGTTATGATTGTTATTATTATTATTATTATTATTAAGTCTCGAGCGCGTAGGACGTCTCTTCTTTGCCTTTGGCACGTGCGTTTCAAAGTTATCGTTAATGCTTGAAATAAACGTTTGGTGCGCCCCTTACGTAGTCCTTTTTGCCCATCAAGCGACAATATTGATCGCGTTGTTTAACAATACGATTCCTTAATTATAAAACATGATTTTGAAATTTTTGCTACCGCCCCATTTGTCCGATGTAGCGTAGCGACACATCATCTATTTAACAATTAAATGATAATCGAAAATTGAAACGGATATATCATTTTAAAAAGAAAAACAGGGGCGACAAAATTTTACTTTAAATCGATGGCCTCTCAAATTGCAACAAAGTATCTGAAATCCTGCAATCTTGCGGAGCATAAACAATGTAAAAGCGAGACAGCTGAAAGCGCATAATAATAATACGAAATTAATTCTCTCTCGACGGATAATGGTGTGAGCGGTCGTACATCGGTAATTCACTACTTACTCGACGATCTCATCCAATCCACGATCAAGATTTGGGAAAATTTTCATTTATTACGATTGAACGAGGCAAATCCTGTTAAATATTCATCAACAACATTCATTCACCGTGACTTTCAATTGTTAATGTTGAATGTAACGATAATTCCACTAACAACACTATTTAATAAAATGTATGTGGAACTAGTGTTAAAAATGAAAAAAAAAGTTTAATCTTTCACGTTGCTAGATAAAAATGTGGATGGTAAAAAGTTGCTTGGAAAGGATACTTCCTGTGACATTGCTCGAGAATAATGAGCCCCGCGCTCTGAAATACGCAATAGTTGCTCGATACATTTTCCCAACATGTTCAACCACGGCCTCCTTCGAAGTCGATCTCGATGATGATTACATTGCGCGCGTACTATCGGCAATTATTCAGTTGCTTCCTCGTTACGAGTACTCTACTTTGCGATGGGAGGGGAACTAATGGCTTAGATTTTGATATAACAATAAAAGTATAAAAAAAAAAGGGGGGAAAAAAAGGGAAGAAAGCTAATAGAGTTTGTCGCATGGCGAATTGTACAGGTTTCGAGGAGGTATAGAGCCGAGTCCATAAGCAAGAGCCAACAAAGGCAGAGGAATCTATAATGTACAAATCATCTATGTATGGATATATATATATATATATATATATATATATATATATTTCAAATTGATGCTTAAGATTTGGTTAATGTTACATTGTAATATGCTTGAAAGTATTGGAGAAAGGGCGCTCGGATAGATGTAGGCTGCACAATATCTTAGTTTTTTTTTTCTTTTTAACGCAAGCAAGTAGAGAAAGAGAGAGAATAATTTGATAAAAGATTTTATAGGGAATAAGTTTATTGTTTCGAGACATCCGAGTTTGGCGGCTGTTGTGCGCTACGGGGCTTTCGCTCAACAAACCACCTGCACACGTGGCTACTTAAGCTGTAGTGCACTACCTCAAGTTTAGCGAAAGCAATAAAAGTAGCTCGCGTAACGAGAACAATGAGATAATTGCGCAGGTGCCAAGATTATGAGAAGCTAAGATGTATTTTAAATGCACGGTGCACCGTGCATTCCAATAGCAGCCAATAATTTTATTTGTCAACTTCAGTATTCATGCATTGTCGTAAAACGTAAGCGTAAGTTAATGAATTAAACAACTGCATTATTTTTAAATATAATCTGCGATAACGTGAAGAAATAATAGCTCGAACGACTAATAGTAATTTGAAGGTTGATTTTTCTTTTTTTTTCTTAAATATCAATATTGCATCCGTGAGGTGTCGCTAAGGCCATTCGCGTTTAATAATGGCAATTCGTTATTTTATCGTGGCACGAGCGCTTTAGAATAAATGCATTATTATTTTTATTTTATTCTCTATTAGATAATTGCGGGTACGATTATGCGTTATTCAATTTAATGGGACATTCCCATCGTGTTCCATCTCTTTCATATATCCTCTAGATTATTATTTAATATCCATCCGTTAGTTGGCACGAATTTGTTAATTGTTTCTCTCAACATTATTGCTCTATCATTGAATATTGTGCGTCGAATGTTCCAAAGTTAAGTCTTAATTTAATTTTGCCCCGTGGATATAATATAATATAATTAATTATCGTTCGAACGAAATTCAATAATTATTTAACACGATAATCTCACGAATGAAAAGGAAGTTTGAAGATTATGTATCTATCGTGGTGATTTAGTTATAATCGTAATCCAGTTGAACGGTAGGCAATATTTATTATAAATTTCAGGTTAAGGAAAAGCTTGTTTTCTATTTTTTTTTTTATGTTTTTTACTTAATTAGGAAAACGTAAAAAATTCGCACGCAGTAAATAAAATTATGACTTATCTACGATTTTATTGTATAAAAACATTTAATGCCACGCGTATAACTTAAAGTTGGATTTTTCGCGAACTATCGTTGGTAAAGTTTCTTTATTCCATACAATTCACGCACTTTTGTGCTGTCAAAGTGTAAACTCCGAAAATTTCAAAAATTTCACAGATTGAAAAAGACTTGTCGATATAAAACTATCGTCACGACACAAATACGTCTCTATTTTCGGACGCGCACTTCCCTTCCTTTTTGAATAATTCGTTCACACCTCTCCCGTCCCCATCTCCACCCCACCCCCCCCTCTCCCTCTAATAATTCCTGCCCCTCTCCAGCGTCAACATAATCGTTACGAGGCTTACCTATTTAACCCTTCGCGCAGTCATGGATAAACAGTATGGATGAGCCCATCCATAGATCGCTAACCTACCCGCACTCGCGTACACGCACACGCACACGCATACTCAGGCGATCGACAGCTCACGTACTGTCCCGCGCGCGCGCACACACCCAAGCCCTTCGTGGAAGCAATGTAAGCCATCGTACGGGAAGACGCGCTGGAAATGTCAAGCAAAGGCCGTTCGTTCTCCCCCGGTGGCATCGGTCCCATTACCAACGCGACAAATTATTTCGTTTTAAGCCAACATTCCATCAGCAAGTCCTTGAAGTTATTGAATTATCACAGTCGCGAGTATCCCTCGGTCAAACGTTTCCGCCCAAATTTCCCGGCCATTTCCCCCCGACCACTACACAGCCAGCCGAATCGAGTTCGCGCCGGACGTTGGATCGTCGCTACCTGGTACTCACCACATGCTGTGAAGTCGTGCAGTCGAGCCTCGCTTCGTTCACCTTCCTTCTTGCTACCCGACAAATACTAAGCGCCGAGTGGGAAAGTCTTTCTCTCGGAGGTGCGGGCGGGTCACCACGAAGACACATATCTCGCAGAGACTGCATACGTCGTCTCTCGCATGCCCCGGCTGAGTCGGCCCTCGGCGTCACTCGCTCATTCACTCACTCTCGCTCACTCTCTCTCTCTCTCTCTCACTCTCTCTCTCTCTCTGTCTCTCTGTCTCTCTATCCCTCTCTGTGTCGCTCTGTCTCCCTGTGGCATGTAATTCGAGAACGTTGGGAGAAACGCGAGCGCGGCGAGGAATCGATACCAACGTCTCCCGCTCTTGTACGGTCTCCCAGACTTTTCAGCTCTCTTATCTTTACCCTGAGTCTACAATTGTGCGGCGGATGTTGCCTACGTCTGATCTCGTACAAAGAGGCTACCGATAACGCGGATCTGGACAACCCGTGAACCAGAAGTCTCGAGGATTTTGGCATGGATTTCTGGTACCGTCTCTATCGTTCAATGGTATCGACGACGACGAGGACGCGCGAGCAGAGTTTCTCGCACGGTGACGAGGGCCATTTCGATTTCATGGCAAATGAATTCACATGGAGAATCTATAGACAAGGTTGTGCCGAAAGTTGCGCATAAGTTAACGTTTGTCTCACTTTTTAATAAACACTTGATATTACTATAGATTACATTCTGCTGTAATCGTCGCGCTCTTTGCCGATTATTTTTAAACGATCCAATCCATTGGACCCAATGTTCTTTACAATGGATATAATCTCTAGACACACT